TGTTGGTGCTTTGAATTTCATAGTTCAAAAGTACCAGTAAATATGGATTTATAATAATTCCCTACTTTGTATACAATTCGGAACATATTTTCGATTGTATGGATGATATAATAAATATATTTGCTTCTTTGTTAAACCTGTTTGTATTAGCTTAATTTGAGTTCAAAATAACTTTTGAAGAACGTCAAAATTTCCCTTGATTAAGTGAAATCTGTCGTGCTACATTTATTATTCTTTCTGCGTAGGTACACTTGGAGCTCTTGTACTGTCCATTTGGCATGGAGAATAGCTTTACAAATCCATTTGCTCCCAACTACTCAATGACATCTCTGGAAAAGGTTCTTAAAAATGCATCGAATGGAATAGAGTCTAATGCAAATGAAAATGCAGCTACCCCGAAGAAAAAGGAGGTTATTATTAGAGGAGTCCTTTCCGTTACTGTAGTATCGGCTGAAGAGTTGCCTGCAACAGATTTCTTGGGGAAATCTGATCCTTTTGTTGTTCTTACCTTGAAGAAAGCAGAAACAAAAAATAAAACCAGGGTATTCCCAGTTTTTTGGTTTAATTAGTTATGAACATGTAACGATCTTGGCCCTAAAAGTTTGTTAATTTCTCAGGTTGTGAATGACAGCTTGAATCCAGTTTGGAATCAAACATTTGACTTTGTTGTAGAGGATGGATTGCATGATATGCTAATTGTTGAAGTTTGGGACCACGACACATTTGGAAAGGTAAAACATTTGCATTATCTTGAATTTTGTTTCTAAGATTACCTTCTTTTATTTATTGTCTTGATGATTTCAAGTCAATTAGTATTGAATTTTAACACATTATGTGGAGTGCCAATTATATATTATAAAAACAACTGAACGGAGGTTAGAAGAAGTCTATGGACGTGTCAATTTATGGGTCCTCAACTATTGAATTAATGAAACTCTTGGACACTTCTACGTTGGATAATGTGGGAAATATGAGTAAGGGGCAAAAATAAAGATCTGGGTTGTAGCAACACTGCACATATGACAAAGAGGGTAGGAAGGAAAAGAGGGGGGGGTTAGTAGCAAGGATAGAAGTGAGAAAAAAGGTAAGGGAGAGAACATCAAGTCATTGAGCGAGGTGGAATGTACATTCGATCATTGTGTGAGTGAGTTCGGGGTCTTTTAGGTAGGAAGGCTTAAAACAAACACCCCTATAAATGTGAGAATATAATATGATACACCTCAAAAACTTAACACTAAAAATTTTGTATGTTTTATTTCTTTCTTTCTGAGTGATTTTGGTTCCTATAATGGGGCTTTATGTCTATCTGTTTTCGTCAATAAATATGTTTTTCTCTCTTTACCATTCATATATGCATGAGAACTATTATGTATGGATTTTATCTTAAAAGAGATTATAGTTTTACAGCCATGAGAGATTCCATCGGGTTAAGATTCTTTTAACTAATTCACACCAGTAAAAAAATTGTTAATTTAGTTAATACTATTAAATATGCTAACAAATTTTATTATTTTGTTTTCTAGAATCACCTTTAAAATTAATATGATACTTCAGAGGATCTAAGATAAGAATTCAATAGGTTCTTAATTCTTTTTTAGTGGATAGCATATTGCCACGTATGGTTAATTACTTCAATAGTAGAATCTAGTTTGAGTTTTTAACTTAGCTTTAGTAGGTATCATTTTATCTCCTCTCTCAAAATCCCTATTTCAATTTAGAAATTATTTTTAGAATAGTTGAGCGACCTTGCTTATTTCTTATGTAAGCAACTTTTATAAAAACTTTAAGTTGTCATTTACTCCAATGATATCTATAAGTTGCGTAGCTTTAAAAGTAAATATAGGTATCCCATTGGAGGTGCTATTTAGTGTAACTTTTAATAGCAAACTCTGCGAAGTTAATCACTGAAATGATTATTTTTTTAATGAAATGATGAAACTAACCTTGATAATTTTATGCTTCTAAATCTTACATAAATCTCATTTTTTTTATAAATGTATAATAGTTAAATCTATTCTATTGCAGTAAAAAATTAAAATTATCATATACTTAAATTTTACAAAATTTAAAGTACCGTTAAGTAACGCAAGAATTACCAACAAAACCAGTTAAGCAATATCAAACTAATAATAATGATGATAATAATTACCTCACTCTAACAAGTTCCGCCCTGGTGACGGATTGGCTGTGTTGGAACTAAAAGAACAGTTTTCTATTCATTAATTCAAGGGGAAACCTCGTACTATATTACTCCGCAAGCGAGAAACTTGTGGTGTCTGACATTAGGATATGTTATGTTATTTCAATTTAATAAAACGGATAAAATAATTTTTTGCTGATTTTTGTGTTGTTAAATTTAAAGTTTGAATTATATATTTTCTCAATTTTCGTTTACATTTTTTCATTATTTAACTACTGAAAATTTGATCCATATGAATGGTCCTGAATCAAACCATTCTTCGTCGTGATGGTTTGATTCAGATTTGTTAAAAGTTATTTTCGCATTCAAATCGAACCGTCTAATAAATTTTGATCGATTTGATGAAATATTACTCGTCTATGTTGAATTAGATATATATCCACTTATTAAAATTGTCATTCAAAGCCTATTCTTATCAAGTTTTCTTGGACTACTATATCGCCATTATCGAACTCCTCTCAGACCGCCCATAATATAATCCTCATGGTTACATTAGCACCCAGTCTCACTACCGAGCCTTCCCTATAAATTCCACCACTTATCCATGATGACAATTTTGTTATGTACTAGGTTTTCTGGTGTTCACAACAGTATACAGGCTTGTTTCATTCATTCTTGTTCCTACTCTTAACCTGTTTTCTTACTTTGTCCGCAAACAAGCCGTTATTGAAATTAAGATGTTTTGTCTAAGGTTTAAAAATAGGATACTGTATATTGAGTCAAAACATGTATGAAGCTCATTTTTAATTCATCCTAAAGTAAGGGTAAACTATTGGATTATGAGTCCATGAAGGGTATCATAAAGAATTAGACTAAAGTAATTTTTCTCGCTTAACAAGTCTCCTCACTATAAGGGAGTTTGTAGAACTTGTGTCATTTTGTGAAAGGTTTGAAAATATAGGTGTTTTATATAAAAGTTTAAAGTTTATGTGTGTTTTTGTTTTCGTGTGGCATGCAGGATTATATGGGGAGGTGCATATTGACGCTCACTAGGGTAATACTGGAAGGAGAGTACAAAGAACGTTTTGAGCTAGATGGTGCTAAATCTGGGTATTTGAATTTGCATCTCAAATGGATGCCACAACCAATTTTCCGTGATGCGTAAATTTCCTCACCTTCTTGCCATCGCTCATCTTCTTTCGTATCTTTATTGTAGTTATTCTTAGCCAATGTATATACTTGTCAAACATAATGATATACGAATTTTTCTATCCTATTATTATTTTCCATCAGCCCTGTGATTTATTACTATTCAAATGTAAAATCAACAGCACGTGGTTGCATAATTGTTGTTTAACTCTAGTTTTGTTGCTTTTATTATCTAGCATTGTCAAATGTTACTAGCATTAAATGTTTTAAATAAATATGGATAAGGTGACAAGTAAATTCCACGCTCGATTATTATATTGTCTGAATCATTTTATATCAAACACTTGGAATCATGGGACGTGCCATTGAATTTAGCTTTCGAACAAAACCAGTAAGAAAAGTACATTTAGGAAAAAGGAGGAACATAGCTTCACCACCTCAAATTGCATATGGAGGTCGTGTTTGACGAACACTTTGGGTTTTAACTTTTGGTGATTTTCTACAATGTTTTGACTTAGTGGTGGTGTTAGAGAATTTAGAATTGTCAATCACTAGCAGAGTTGAAAATGGATCACTTCAGCCTCGATGCTTCGTATCATATTTGAGGGTATAAAGTTGAGCATCCTCAGTATAACACCGATGCGCTTGATCTAGACGATTATCGGCTATAGATTTTCTACATTTGATGCTACGTATATGGAACCACTAATCATTACAATTCATCCTTTACCTGAACTAATGACTTGAAATGTCACTATATAGTTAGATAGAGGATCTCTTAAAAACAAGAATACTAAAATAGTGGATCAAAACGTAAGGGACAAAAATTTCTTTAGCAAGAAGCAATTATATGAAAATATTGACTTTTTTAAATATTTGAAAGAACAAAAATGAAAGGATTCTCAACTAATGCTGAGTGTTTTGATCAAGGTCCTAGAATTAGCTTATAAGCTTCGACTAAAGAGGAATAAATTGATTCATACTGAAATTAATGAAAATAATCAAAACAAAAAGAAAGTCTAGTCACCTGGATAGTAAATCTTGAGTAACAAAATTAAAATGATGAATCGATGAATCATATATCATTTCAGTAAATATAGAACATTGAAATAACTAAATTGTTCGGTTCCATGAGTTTACTATTCTGGAACCAACCTGACAAATAAAAAAAAAGTCATAATCTGACTTGTAAGTTGTAATAGATCACTACTAATGAAGAATATGATGAGAAAAAATGAATAAAGTAAACAAACCGACCAAATTCATTACATTGATACATAAACGTATTCACAAATTTAAACACTTCATCCAACCATTTGATGAAATGAATTCAATTTGTTCTGTCCCTGAACCAAACTCGTAAATTTTTTAGTGAAAATTTATTTTCAAGAACTTATAGATCTCTGTCCTCTGTCCTCTGTCCTTACTCAATTTCCAACGTTTGAATAGAGTGAAAAATCGAGCTAATAATTTAAGAGAAGTTGATAATGTAAGCTTTTGTTGATGATAGCAGAAAGAACTAGACGAAAGGAATTAAACCCTAATATGAGAAACTCCCATTTAATGCGAATATAAGTATAACGACGTCATAACGTAACTGTATATTGAAACTAGAAAGACTGTTTAAGATAGTTAATTTTTTTCTTTCGTACAAAAAACAAATTTGTGTGATGTTTTTCTTGAGTATAAGAAAAATAAATGTTGACTGATATAACACAATATCACACAGATCACTGAAACGGAAGCATAACAATATGCAGGTAATATCTGGTTACCAATTTTTTCCTCCTGCTAAAAGCATATGTTCATTAATACTCTTAGCAGCTGTGGTAACACAACAAGCATACAAGCCAATACATATAGCATTTCCATGGTCTTTCATTTTGCTCATTCGGATAGTATTCACCTGCATATATACACACCAAAGAACACACTGCTTCAAAGTTCCGAATTACATGTCGGCAACTTCATCTATAACTGTCAATAGAAAATGTTTCAGCTTTCTTCTTCTCCGATTGGTTCCCCTGCATGCATTACCAGAACTCAACTGGGTTGCAATTATTCTTTGAATGTGCGTCAAGCATCATAACAAGAAATTACATCATTGGTTTACATATATCTTCAAAGAATCAGAGTAGAAGTTCTACTCTTAACCAGGTTACCATTTTATCTCGATCAAAAGTTATTAGAAAAGGACTAAAAATCAGTACATTTAGGTTAATTTAGGAACAACCTCTTTTGTCGGTTTTAAAAGAAATAATTCTCTATCTAAATAAGCCATGCTTTAGATTTAGAATGCATGACCCATTAAATGTGAATGCATATTTTGCAAATGATATATAGGACAAGTAGTCCCATGCACAACCATGTACAATCATTATATAATCAATCAAACAAAAATAAGTTTATAAAACCAATTATCATTCCTAAACGACAACTAAACCACAATTAAGAATGACATAGATCTATCTCCAAGTTCCATACAGGTAAAGATCCATTAAAAAACAATATAGATAATCCACTACCCCAAAATATTTACTACTAATATTATTGCGTAGTTATTACTATTCCATTGATTGTAACTCTTGAGCACCAACTTCGAAGTGCCTTCGCAGAACACCACCTCCCCTCCTCCCCTGAACCCAAGATGAGACTGAGATGCGTCAGAAAAGACTGACGACCTCTCTAGGCACCTTAAAACTAATCAACAAGAGATTACGTGATTTTAGAAATTTTCTTAGCCCCTTAAGAACAGTAACTATCTTAGAATATAGGGTTTTCTCTTATATACTCTTCTCAAATTCTATCTATAATCTTGTGCGACTTGAATTTTTCTTAATAGAATCCCACACTCCTAATACTATTATGTTTGGTACATTAACTATAATAAGACTGTTTTAATGAATTAAAGATAAACTCAGATAATGTTAGGAACTCATAATTGAAAAAAAGAAAGAATAGTGATATTCTTTATTATATAGACGGAAAAGAACAAAAAATAAAAATAGGAGAGCACTCTCTCCTCCAAGGGTTTCCCTTCACAAAGAGATAAAGCTCAATCTACAAAATTATCCCCAAAAATCCCTGCATACAAGGACCCCCCAACTATATAAAGGATACCTCACACCCTAACAACCTAACTAAACTATTTCTTAATTTGTTTCCTCCTATCATACACATTATATCCTATCAGATAATATCTTAAATTTAGACTTAATTTAACAAAACTATAAGGTAAAAGTTGTTACCCCAATCATGCACTCCATTCAGAATTCTCTAGTCTAGGTAAAAGTCGAGTTTTTCTCGATAACACTCTGCTAAGTTGTATGTATTGCATGTGTTGTGATTCTTGTCAACCAAAATAAGGTTTGAACTCCCAGGGGTTCAGTTAAGCAAGTTTCTTTGTACCCTTCCCAACATGTAAGAATAAGAAAACATCACTCAAAACAACTCTCCAAATTACAACTTTTAATTCCTCATAACAGCAACATAATCACATTTTCCCTGTCACTTGATAGCTATGACAATAAAAGGTGGAGTGAACCTACCAATACTGGTTATGCAATATGAAAGAGTCCGTTGGTACTTTCTTGCCATCATCATTGCGGTTCCAGTGATAGATAGCATGAGTCCTATTGTTTATCTCCAAGGTAGAGTGTCCATAGCTTGCTTCACGAAATGCAGAATATTCAGGCTGTGGATCCAAAAACCTGCACGACCAAGGATAGAATTGAAACTCATATGACAAGACATTTGACAAATGGTAACTACAGATCTTAACCTCTAACGAAAATTGAATCTTATTAATAAAGATTAAATAGACACCCAACCCAAGATAAAAATGGTAAAAAATACGATACTAGATAAAGTTTGTTTAATTTACTTTGCAGCAAGTCCTTCTTGATTTCCACCATCTCCGACTGTTATATAAACAGGCGCTGATTTGTCAGGTAAGGGATACCTGTTTCCGCTTGTTATGTTGTAGTCTATATTGGAGAATCGATACTGAAAGCATGACAGAAAAATTATAAGAATCCACCACGACATTAGATGACTGAAGAAGTATATTGCTCAAGTTGTAGATACCAAGAAAACATACAAGAGTCTGAGTAGGGATATAACCAAAACAATGAGTAGAGAGTGAAAAACATACTGATCTTTCATAAGCATGGACATGCCCAGCAAAGATCACGTCAACTTTGTATTTGATGAACCAGCTCTCAAACACTGATCGCATGCTCTCACCCTCCATATAGTGAGCTCCGTTACTGTTGTAGAGTGGAATGTGCATGAGCACAATGAGCCAAGGAGTCTTCTCCCTATCAACCCGCTTCAGCTCTTCTTGAAGCCACATGTATTGAGGCGTGTATTTTACTGTGAATCACATAGAATACCACACAAGAAAGCATTAAACATTTTCAAGACACCAAACACGCGGCAACAAAATGTGGCAGTTGACAAGTATACATAATGGTAGTGACTTTTCAACCAAAATAGGTACGGCTCTAAGTCAAAACATCTAACATTCTTAAGACTTGGAAACTTCAGAATGCTGCTCTCCACCATTCCTAAGAAAATGGCACCAGAATCCTAATGTAAAGAAAAGCCTTTTTTTTTCCTATTCCCGTTTGGAAAAATCAAATGTTGGTTGCTTATATTGGTACCATATTCCATCTGGACAATTTTACTTGTATTTGGGATATTATTTGTCTTCATTCCTGTTTTTATCAGAACAATGAAGCGGAGACAAACATAAGAAAAATGTCTATCTTGAACTATGAAGCACCGATTCCAACAGGAACGCCACACCCAGCACTCAGACATGATTAATATTTAAGATATAGGATACAGTAACACCGTTTATATATATATATACATAAGAGAAGTTGTTTTCTTTCAAATAATGATGACAGTGTCCAGGAAGAGTTTACTCAATAACAGTTACGACTTTTATTTTCTTAAATCACGCTCAAACTTTGAAAAGATGCAGGATATATTGCCAAGATAAATACTATGAGAATAACTCTTAGTCCGGCTGCCCATTTTTGCTTGGTTTTGCAGCAATTTGATGTTAAAAATGTTCTTTCCTTCATGGAGACTCATAAAAGGAAGTCTTTCTCCCATATTTGATTTCTGGTGGAAAGAACAAGGTCTCTAGGCTCAAGAAGACTTTGTATGGGTTCAAACAGTCTCTCCAGGCATGATTTGGAAGATTAGTCAAGGCCATGACATTCGTGAGTTATATAGACAAAGTCAAGGCCCCAAATGGAAATTTCCATCTTCTCCCAGTTTATGTACACTATGTGATCATTGTAAGTGATGATTAGATAGAAAAACATGCTTTCAAGGAGACGCTTTTGAATTGGAGTTGGTTGGGGTAGCTAAAGTACTTCCTTGGGAAGCCAATTGGAAATTATTGATATCAACTTGAGGTGTGTTGTAATACACATATATTTAAGATAGAAAAATTATCTTTCAATTTCTATTGTAGTTTATCTTTCATAATTTTAAATTTATCTTTTAGACTGGTTTATCTTTTAGGTAAAATATAAACAAAAAGGATAGAAGATATCTTATCTTTTACTATCTTAGATTAAAGATAGTTCTTTTATTTGTGTGTATGTTTTGAATATAGTAAAAACTATATATGAGATTAATCTCTCTTTTGTTGAATATACACATATGATTTCTTATTACAAATAAAAAATAATAACAAACTAACTAAAAATAAAAACTAAATATAAAATAAAGATAATATATCTAACCGTATGCATATATGCACACACTGAATTACATGTGTTGTAACCTGAACAAAATTGAATTGAAACAAATGAACATGTAAGGAATATTAATAAGTAGATAAAGAGGAGATTAGTTACCAAATGGCGAATAGCTGGATAGCACAATTATATGAGCAGACGCACGCCTCACTGCATACCAGAGGGGGCTGCTGCTATTGGAGGCCAAATAGGGAGTAGTATATCGGTAAAGAAAGTTTTTGAAAGGAACAACTTCTCTCTGACAAAGCATATTTGTATAAGGATATTAGAGCCAGGTTAACATTAAATGCAAGTGTATAAATTTCCAACATAAGCAACGGGAAAAGATTAGCATCTTAAGTGAATGTGTTGCAACAAATCACATGAATATTTACTTCAGCATCTGTTCTTGTGCCAACCATTCACCGAAACAGTAAGAAATATCTTATTATGTACAAAACAAGTAGTTGTTTGCTACTTGAAATTTGGGATATATTAAGAGCTACAAAAATAATCAAGTTGTTCATGGCATATAAAAGATGTTGCTCCAAAACTGTAGAAATAGTAAGATGGCGTATCAAAGAATATATCTAGTTCACACCAAATAGTTTGATGGAGCTGAAAGTCAGCTAACTCATATTTTGCAGATGATCATGCATAGTTTTTGAAAAGGAACAAACCAGCTCACACATAGTTAAGAAGAATAAAAAGTAAACATGTTTCTTATACTTTTCATTTCCTAAAAAAAGAAAAAGAAAGGGAAAGCTGAAACCATGACGATGGTTTATTATTTCAATGATCCCGTAATAATTAGTCCATTTCATTCTATTAATTTAGTGCAATAAGAACAACTAAGGCACATGATAGACTCAGGTCAGTATATTACCATGTAAGGCATGTAATCTATTTCGTGATTTCCGGCAGACCATATCCATGGATGATATGCTGTACTCCTTTCAACAAATCGGCCCCACGTATCCCACCGCAAACCAACATCATTGTATTCGTACCTATCAGCGTAAGAAAGATCTCCGACATATAAGACAGCCTCCGCTCCACTCTGTATATAATGCTCAAGGGTGGAAAGAGAATTAAACGTTTGGCCCAAATCGCCTGCAATATTTATGCAATGATTCATTTATGAGAGCGACAAATTAAAACTTGTGGGAACTCATAGCAAAAGAACATTCTGATAGACATTTTGTGAAATAAAAATAGAAAGAAACTATAATTGAGGATACAGAAAACTATTTTGTAGAAGAACGATCGTGGGAAAGCAGAAAACTTACCAATTATCCCAAATTTGTAGGAAGCATCCGGGTCAATTTTGGGGGGTGTTTCAAACCAAAATTCTCGAGAAGAATCACCGCTTCCGATTCTGTAGTAGTATTTAGTCTTATACTGAAATGGGGGTATCACTGATTTAATTAAATGAACACACGTTCTACACACAGCAAGATGAGAATTAACAAGCACAAGATTAATTTAAAAAAGAAAACATATTGTGTATTATGCGTTAGACTTCACTTTTGAATTGATTTTACTTTTGACATTTCAAGTATAATGCCACTGATGATGATAACTCTAATATCGTAAATTGATCAACAATTACCTCAAGGTCTTCAAGAACACAATGATGAATGTATCCCGACTTGTATTCATGAAAAGTATAGTTTCTAACTGTGCCTTCTAAACTAGTTTGAAATTTACTCTCTGATGTGCCGTATTGTACATGGCTGGGCCCTGGTTCATCTGGGGTCACCCATGAGATGATTACAGCTTTTCCATCGTAGTCACCTTGCGTGATGTGCACCTACAGTGGAATTAGTCAATACAGCAGAGTTTATTTGAATAAAAGGAAAAACATTAGAATGTGAAACTGCTTCAAATATCCAATACGGTTTTCCAAGGAGTAAGATCCTCATCAGAGTTTCACTAAATACTATTAGCGCATTCATAATAAAATCAGCCTTGTTATTCTGGTATCACTTACTTGCTGAGGTGCATTATAACCCTTCGGAACTGCAAATGCTTCATGATCAAGGGGGAGGTCAACTGCAGGCCACTCTGACCGAATGAAGGAGCTAGTGATCCTAGCACTCCCATCTCTAATAGAAACCAAGAAGACAAAGGAAGCAAGAACAAAATTCAGTAACATGGTCTGCTCTCTTCTTTCCATCGGCATGAATGTTGTCTTTCTCTGCCTACTGAGTCCTAACCATCTGCATTCAAGAATCCCAACGATTGTCACTCATGCTTTACACATAGTACGCCAAATACATTTTGATCTAATCTACATTGAAATAACTTATTTCAAGATAAATCTCCACTGTTCTGTTCCAATTATCTCTCACGCTGATTCGTTTATTTATTTTCACACTCTTTTACCATCGAAAATGGTTCTCATTCTCTGACTAGGTTTGATCTCTACTTGAATCCGCTGAATATCAGATCTACACTAGCAATCAATCTAAACATAAGCCAATTCAATCATAAAACAGGCGAAGTTACAGTTGCACAAGGCTTTCCTAATTATCGTCTTGATTTTGAACAGCGGTAGGTTCGTGAAGATGCACCACACTCTCCAGAACTCGTAATGATCCATCATGCATCCTTTACTATTAAAACTAAGCGAGTGATTTATAATCTAGATCCAAGACAAGTGAAAGAGAGATAGAGAGAGATTTACCTCGAAATGAAGTATCTGCAGAGAAGACAACAACGGGAAGGCAAGCAGAGGAAGCAAACGAAAACAGAGAGACACGCAGAAGTGAATAATTGGTTATTGGTGATTGATTGAGTTTGAAGGGAAGGTTATGGAGAAGAATGGTACACGAAAACTAATGCATTTAATGCATTGCTATGCCTTGTCCTCTTCTTCATTCCTTCCATCTTTACATTCTTTTTAAATAAAAATAATATATAAGTTAAATAATACATAATTAAAATTATAATTGAAGTAATTCTTGATGTCGTTGTTGTTGTCAATTTTGTTCCCTTGTATTTTCTAAAATACTCTTCATTAAAAATTTAAATGTATCATTCCACCTAAGTCCATTGTGTGCAGTTTGTAAAAATTTAAAAGTTTATTATTCAACTCTTTTTCAACAAAAGTTACTCATAATTTATATTTATTATAATATAATTTTATATAATTCTTTTTAGCGCATGAAAACAAATAATAAGATAATGATTTGTGTAATTAAAAAAAAATTAAGTAACACATACTCAATTGAAACAAAAAATTAAGTATTTAATAAATAACAAAATTTAAGAAAGATTCAATTAAAAATATACAAATTTATAAAAGGCTTAAAACTTAATAAATATTTATTTTATAAATATGATATATTTATAAATATAAATTTAGATTTTATTTTACAATCTATTTTAATATTTTTTATAGAATATCTCCTTATTTATTTATAGTTAATAGTAAATAATTATTTTTTAAAATTTTCTTTTTTAAGCATTATATTTACGATAAATATTTACTTCTATAAAATAATTAAATTTTGTTAATTTTTTTAAAATGTAATCAAAAGTTAAATAAACTTATTAATAGACAACTTCTATCAGTTTACCTCAACTTGCCTTATATTTAAAATATCTTAATTACTTAAATATATTTTTTTTAAATAATAATTAATATATCATTCAATTCAAACATTTTAAAAATATAAATAATAAAGAGTACGAGCTTGATTATTTTATTTAAAATAGTCATATCATAAATAGAAATTTTTATATATTTTTTAATTGAAATTCATTTTATAAGAATTATTCTCTTTGAAATTTTTTTCAAATTTTTTTCTATTTTATAAGATTCATTGATTTCATTTTTTATTTGTTTAAAGATTAGAGTATGTCTACGACTCATGATGACAAAGTCTATATTTCTATTCGATAAGTTTGTTAAACATAGTAAATTCATATTTTACTTATTTTAGAGTTTTTTAGCTTTTATAATGCATGTATGAGGTTAGAGGGTTGCATAAGTCATCTCAAAGATTTAGATGAATTTATGTTCAATTAAGATTGTTTGGGTATGGTCACATAATTGATCAGATTTTTTTTTATACATGTATTGCTTTCTTTATCATTAAGAGTGCTTAAAGGCAAATAAAATTATGTTTTATGTTCATAAGTCATATAAGAGAAGTTAGTCATTTAAAAATTTATTGTATTGTTAATGAGATTGTGGTTAATTTTTTTTTATGAATGTTTGAATTGTTGCATGAAGTGATTTTGTTTGTTTGATGTTGTAAATTGCTGAACTAGCTAAATTGATGGATTTAAACACAAATATTATATGTCATTGGAGTTTTGATGGGAAGTTATTTCAAGGATTGGTAAATCTAGCTCAATTGATTTTAATGAGTGTATTTTATGCTTACGTAATAATATATTTTGAGTTTTGAAATGTAAGAAAAATACCTATTAAAACCCATTGATCATGTTCATTAATCTAATGGTAGTGTATATATATATATATATATATATATAATTTTTAAATTGGTTGATGAATGAGATAATTGAGTGTTTATAAATTGAGTGTTAAATTCTATGATTGGTATGTTAACATAGTATATCTCTTTGGTAATTTGATTTCTTTAAATATTTGATACAGTCTTTAGTTAGAAATAGCTAGAGATAGATCACATTTAAGTATTATTAGAATGAGGTTAGTAGTTGAAATCATGTACTTAAAATGCTTGTTTTGTGTTGTTTTGGTTGTGAATGAGGAATTTCTAGGTGAAATTTCAAATTGGTGATTATTGAACTAAGAGAAAATTAAATTGTAATTTTATAACGCATATTAAGTAGTAAATAGTTTAAGAAGAGTTAAAGTGATAAATTAAAGCTCATATAAAAATCCTGAAATGTTGGTGCAGTGTAAGGGCGTCCTTCTAGTATTGTTGGACGCCCTTATAGTGTTATTAGGCGTCATTCAAATAGTGGTCATTGACTTTGTTTGAGATGGGTGGAACTTTAGTACTGCTAGCGCCACCAAAGGACTATTGAGGCGAAACTTGCATTTTAAAATCAAGGAAGCACCAGGGGATATGATGTTGGGTGCCATCTTGTTTTAGGTCCTAGGTTGTCTTGGTAAAATTTTGATTCTCATTTCATTAATTGTTGGATCGGATTGAAATTTTGACAACAAATCATAAAAATGTAATTCTTTATTTTGGCTGTAGGAATGTTAATTAAAGGTGTATACCTAGAGAAGTTTTTTTGGTCATTTTGACATACTTAATAAAAATATTGTAATTGAGTGTTATGTTAATGTAATAGAAAATGAATAGTAAGTTATTAACTTGTAATTTGAAATAAATAATAGGTGAATTATGTTCTGAGATGAGTTTGGATTTAGGTGTGATGATTAAGATAACATGAGAATGTTAGTGATATTAAATGTTGAATGAGATTATGATATGTAATTGGAATTTGATGGATGTGGAATGATTTTCAAGAAAGAAAACGTTTTAGTCTTGTATTAGGTGTATTGAGTAGGGGTTTTGAAAGAGATTATCCTGCTAGATATCTCAATTCACATAGAGTAAGATATCTAGTTAGTAAAAATTAATAGAAGTTTCTGTGACGAAAATTAGTTTTAAATAAACAATATTTACCTGGTATGGATAAACTTATATGATTTGTTTATATGATATGTATAATTGGATGAAGTTAATGTTTGTAATGATTGTTTGTTTTAACTATTTATAAATCTTATCCTTTTTAAATATACTAATTTACCGTGTTTTTTTGTGTGATTCATAAGTATATAGTTTTATATTTTATATCTTCTTTTTAATTGAAAAACTTTATATATTATGAAAAAAGTATTATTGGAATTCATAGAAAACCAAAATTATATATTTAAGTTTATGTGATAGTCTATTATTTAATATCTAATTTGTAATAAATGAAGTTAGTAGAATGAATCTACTATAAATTGAAATGTTACTTATTCTATTATCTCTTACCTAATATTCTATGATCTCTTACCTAATTAAGAAGTCAGTTAATTTATTATTGCAATCTTGTTATTGTTATTAAGCATCATTTGACAAAAACAGAAAATATAATAAAGGAAACATATTTGAAAAAAAATAAATTATCCACATTAAATTATAGGTCAAGAACTTACAACTTAAATACTTATAAATTAACTTGTCAAATATTTCCAGTACTGACTCTATTATTGTTCTCATTTGTTATTAATTGGATCATGGAAATTAAGTATTCAATTTTTAACTTGAATTGATTGATTCCATTGATTTATTGATTTTGAAACTAATCTTCTAGCAAGTTACAGAAAATAAATCTCATATTAATAAAAGAATAATTGACTAATGAAAGTATGAATGAGGTAAAACAACAAAGGAATATTCAGACAGATATTGAGCATAAAGGTTAAAATTGAAGTTATTCTATGAATGTAATTCACGCTTCAAACTTATTAACAGATTATGAACAGAGAATAATATCTTGTGACGATATTTTTTTTCTCAGACAAAAAGCGCGTTTATTTAATAGTGGCGTTGTGGAATACAACAAGCATTGAAGCATTCAAGCCAAATACAGAATATAATGCATTACAGTTACGAATGCTTCAAATTCCTATTCAATGCCCAACTTCATCGATAACTTGCACTCTGTTTTCCATTATTGTTTCCCCTGCATGTACCACAATTCCTTGGTCATTCAATTATCCTTTCAAGACGATAAATCTCTATATACATATTCCATGGGTTTTTACACTAAATTAGTAATTTTAAATATTACTAGATAATAAATTTATCAATATTTTATATAATTATTGTATGCAAGAAAAACTAATAAAAAGACTAGGTTCCATGCATCAACACATTTTATCTCTATTTGCCAAGTGACTGAAAAATGGTTTTGGCTTCTGATGTTTTTAACTCTGATGATTAGTCTCCACCAGACAGGTTAATTTGTGGAGAAACCCATTTGCACCCTTCCAAACATGAAGAAAGAAGGAATATCACACAACCAACACTCCAAAATGTATGGAATGTAGGCCATGAAATGCATGTAGAACAGAGAATGTCTGTGATTTGTGTCTCATCATTTGCTAAAATGTAATAACAAGTTGCAGTTCATCATAAAAACGAGAGAAAATGACATGCATATTTTTCACAGGTACTTGATGATAGGTGTGCCAAAGAAAAGGTGGAGGGAACCTACCAATACTGGTTAAGCAAAACCAAAGAGTCAGCTGCTACTCTCTTTCCATCATCGTTGCGATACCAGTTATAGATTGCATGAGTCCTGTTTTTAATCTCCAGTGTCGCGTGTCCATAGCTTGCTTCTCTAAATGCAGAATATTCTGGCTGTGGATCCAAATAACTGCACCCATATGCATGCCATGACATTAAGACAACCATGATGTTAATTAACCTCTTACAAGGACAAATACGAGCTTATACAAGAGAATGATTTGTTTACTTTACCTTGATGCAAGACCTTCTAGATTTCCTCCATCTCCGATTGTTACGTAAATAGGTGCTGATGGGTCTGGTACGGGATACCTTCTACCTCCTGTTATGTTGTAGTCTATGTTGGAGTATCGATACTGAAAGCAAAACACAGAATTTCAGTCAAGATAACGTATATAAAAGTGTGTAATGTTGTGAAGGGTGGGAGCAAAAGAAATGAGCAGAAGGAGAAGAAAAACATACTGATCTTTCATAAGCATGGACGTGTCCTGAAAAGATGGCATCAACTTTGTATTGAACGAACCAGCTCTCGAAAACTGCTCGCATGGCTTCACCCTCCATATAGTGAGCTACATTACTGCTGTAGAGCGGCTTGTGCATGATCACAAACAGCCAAGGCGTTATCTTTCTATCAACCCTTGCCAGCTCATTTTTAAGCCATATGTATTGAGGTGTGTACTTCACTGTTTACAAATTAAGATCACTGTTAGGAAACGATACAATGAAAGAATGCAGTTAAGGAAATAACATTAACAAGTAGATAAAGAGGAGAAGATTGGTTGGTAGGTAGTGGAATTTACCAAATGGAGAATAGCTGGATAGCACGATTATATGAGCAGATGCACGCCTCGCTGAATACCAGAGGGGGCTGCTGCTATTGGACGCCAAATAGGGAGTAGTATATCGGTAAAGATAGTTCTTGAAAGGAACTAATTCTCCCTGACGTTTTCAGCATAAGCAGAATATCAGCTCACATCTCAACATCAATGAAACTTCACAAAGGACAACTTAGTTTTACAACTATGTTTTAGTAAAATTTTAGACTACAGGCTTGTACATAAAATAAAGAATAAGGTTAGTAAGTTTACCACTTCAGGCATAAACTCTACTTCGTGATTTCCTACATTCCAGAACCATGGCTGATATGCTGCACTTTTTTCTGCAAATCGCCCCCATGTATCCCACCGTAAACCAACATCTTCGAACTCATGCTCATCAGAATAAGAAAGATCTCCAACATATAACACGGCCTGTCCTCCACCACTCTCCAAATAATGCTCAAGGGTTGAAAGAGAATTAAACGTTTGCCCCAAATCACCTGCAGTTTTTGATAGCCACAAAATTAAAATATGTATGTGTGTGTATGTTTAAAAACAGACAACTTACCAATGATGCCAAAGTTGTAGGGAGTATCTATCCCAACTGGGGGAGGTGTTTCGAACCAAAAATCTCGAGCTGAATCACCACTTCCAATTCTATAGTAGTATTTAGTGTTATACTGAAATGGGAAATGGTTGAATAAACCAAATGAGCACATTCTACTTTTGACATTGCAAATAGAAAGCGAGTGATGATAATGGGATCTACTCAACAATTACCTTAAGACCTTCGACAAGACAGTGATGAATGTAGCCAGACTTGTAGTTATAGAAGGTGTAGTTTGCAACTGTGCCTTCTTTACTAGTTCGAAGCCTGCTCTTTGATGTGCCATACTGTACATGGCTAGGTCCTGGTTCATCTGGTGTCACCCATGAGATGATCACTGCTTTTCCATCATAATCACCTTGCGTGATGTGCACCTGCAGTGGAATTAATCAATTACGGAATAAAAAAGGTATAACTTTAGAATTTGAAACTGCTTCACATACCCAAATTAGGATCGGCTTATAGATAACAAAATATGCCTTTTTATCTCTGAAAGACTTACTTGTTGAGGTGCATTATAACCCTTTGGAATTGCAAATACTTCATTATCGACGGGCATGTCCTCTGATGGCCACTGTGGCCGAACGAAAGAGCTAGTGATCCCTGCACTACCATCTCTCATACAACTCAACAAGACAAAGGAAGCAAGAACAAACTTCAGCAACATGGTCTGCGTCCGTTTATATTTCAAGAGTCCTAATTATCTGCATTCAAGAATACCAATGAAGGTTATTCAATTGTACTACAATTATTTCATTCAACTAATTCACTTCCAAATTACATGTTTCAAGGTAAAACTCTATTTCTGTTCCAATGATCCCTCATCACACTTTGCTATCAACGACAGCAGTTGTAAAGATGACATCGTATATTCTTTGTAGGAAAATTTGACAACTTTGTCTTGTCTATCGGTCGGTGTGTTTCAAATATCAGTCTAGTTTAAATATACAGATCAAAAAAACACTGATACATAATCTATTATCAAAAAATTAAAAAAATTATTAATATATCATTTCAAATATTAAAATAAATTTTGAAACAATTTTAACTCACTTTTGCAAGTAGATTTTTTCTAGAAGGTTTTTTTAACAAATTTTTTTTAACAATTTTTTTATAACATGATTCATTTCAAATATTTGTTTGAAAATAAATTTAAAAAGATTAATAAAATAATAAGACTTAACCTGTTATGAAAAGTTGTTAACTTATCATAATTTTTATTAACTGATAACACAACATTTTTCACTACTCTTCGTGCTTCTTCGTTTACAAATACAAAATTTATTATTTTTTTATTATTTTACTTTTATAATGTCTTATAAAAATAAATGTAACGTGACTCTAAATATTATTATTCTTGTTTTCTTTTTCTGAAAAAAATATACTTTTACACAAACTTTTATAATAGAATATTATATTAATATAATAAAAATAAATATAAATACGATATTATAATAAAATAATTTATGAGAAAAAAATGTATTATCAAAGAATCAGCTTTCTTTTTTGGGTGTTACTCCCTCCACCCCCACACGTCTCTTCCTCCACCTCCCCAATTTTTTAAAATGCCAATTATATCCTTCTAAAATGACAATTATATCCTCAAAAGTTAAAATTTTTTATTTTTATTATTTTAATATTTTAATTTATTTAAAACTTCTGATTTACTTCCCTCTGCACCTCTTCCTCTCTTCCATTTCCGTTTACATTTCTCTCTTCCGTCAAGCTTCTTCTCCATTTAAGTTTATCATTTTCTCTTCCGTCAAGCCTCATCAACCTTTCACTTCTATTTCTCCATTTCTTTCTTCTTCATTTTCCGGAAGAGCGTTTGCGGAGCAGCCGTTGAACCGTTGGTGCCTTGGTGCGGTGGAGGCCGTTCAGCTGGGAGAGGAGCGGATCTGCGGCATGCGGCATGGTACAGGTTTGTTTTCGGTGCTTTCTGCCTTGGTGCTTGTCGCGTTTCAACAGTGTCCGCGAAAGGCCGAAACGGATGTGGGAGATCCGTTACCCTTCGACGGATGTCGGACTTCCGTCGACGGATGTGGGATATCCGTTGAAGGGTAATCGGACATCCCACATCCGTTTTGCCTTAAACGGATGTTGACATCCGTTGAAGGATGTCATCCGTCCAGAGGCAGTGTTCCTTTTACGTTTCGTTTTTATTTTACTACGTTTTGCGGCTCATACAAGGATTATAGGCTTGGATATTAAAAGGATTATTGGAAGTATGGGAAGGGTTTAGGGTTTAGGATTATTGGAAGGATTATGACTACGTACCTGGAGAGGAACCACGACAAGGACACTACACCACAAACGCACTGCACCACGTACTGCACCGAGAACAAGAAGAAGATTGTTTGATAATTCTTTTCACGATCACCAAGCTTTGCAGAAAAATATTTTACTCATACAAGGAACTACGTAGGTTATCAGTGAAATATGTTATAAATGAATAAAATTAAAAAACAACAATTTTAAAAATAAAATTTTACTGAGGGGCAAAATAGTAAAGAAAAGGTGGAGAAAGGGGCAAAATAGTAAAGGGGAGGTGGAGGAAGAGATGTGTGGAGGTGGAGGGAGCAACACCCTTCTTTTTTCTGTCCCTTATCCACAGCCCGATTTGTTTCTTTTAAAGATAACAAAATGAATTGTCCCATTTATTTTGACCATTAAATGTAGGACTCATATTTTAATTTTTGTTTTCTAGTAACAATTAACTCTTGTCCTTTTCAACTTGATTTATCATGATTAATTCAATTTGACTTTAACTCAAAATAAAAAATAATAACAAGCCATAAAAATAAGTGATATCATTGAACTCTGAACTTTTTCATAAGAAAACAACTTAATAATAAAAGCATACAAAAAAATAGGGAAAACATAACTTATTTTTGCAAGATAATAAATTATTTTGCGTTGTAAACCAAATTTATTGACTTTTCTTTGTAAAGAGTGGGGGATGTGGATTCCAAAAAATGGTTTGTTGAAGTTAACATAATCACGATGAAACCATCACAAGCTAAGTTCTTACTCTGCAGCTGCTTCGCATCCATTATTTGACCACCCACATAACTAGTGAGTTCTTTTTCTGCTATTCTCTTCAGTTGTTTTAAAGACAATTTCTCCAGCTATAGTGTCAACTCCTTCACATGTTTTTAGTTAACTTCTTCAAGAGTTAAAGCAGTGCAAGGTTTTTAGAATTGAAACTATCCTTTTACCACTAATACTTTCCATAATGTGTTAAGCTTTCAAAAAAATAAAAACTCAGAAGGAAGCAATGACAACGTTGGCATATAAAGGAACAAATACTGATGAAGCAAGCATGTTGGGGGCTATAGTTTGGTGCATTACACCATGAATGGTAAGAAGAAGAATGAGAAAGAGAGAGGGTTGGCTTACCTTAAAATGAAAAAATAGCTGAGAAGACAGAACCAAGTGATGCAAAGAGAAGAAGACCATGGAACTATTTATAACGAAGGGAAAGGGTGAAGTAGTTGGTGCATTTGGAGCCACAATTTCCTTATCTGGTTGGTATACTTTACTTATTTATCTCTTATTTATGTGAAAAATGATTCCATTCATGATGAATGATGAATCTAACCCTTAACATGTATATAATAAAGAAAGGAAAATAAAAATAAATTTATTAGTTATATATATAATGTGATCAGAAAAAGGATATAAAAAAATAAACATGCAACAGATATAAATAAAATTAAGATATATGTGTAAGGTTTCACTGTTTATTAATAATTAAGGATAATAGTAATAGAATAGAAAAACGGATGAAATTTACAATTAGACTCTTTTTAAATTTTTAAAAAAAGTTATATCATAAAATATTGTATCAATTTATATAGTAAAGAATGAGATTATAAGAACTTTATTTCAAATATAAATAATAGTAAAAAATATAATTATGTTTTACATATAATAAAATTTTATTTAAACTTTTGCATTTATTTTCAGTTTTTATAAAAGAAAATATTAAATTTATTGTCTTTGATAAAAAGAATATAATAATGAATTAATAAAAATGATGTTGAGGGTACACCCAGCGTGCAGTATCCTATTCTTAGTATTCTATTTTTATTATTGTCGTTTAATGCTTTTTTAATTTCCCACGTGATTAAAATAGCTGTCGGTTTCCAAATAAGTGATATTTTAAAATAATTGACTGGGTAGTCCTATTCAGGTCTTACTTTTATTTTTAATAATCTACTCTAAAATTTCTTCATTTTAAGAAATTCATTAAGAAATTACTCGAAATCATTATAGGTATTATATTACGTGTGGTGCTATTTTAGTGAGTTAAAGGGAGAAAATAACTGTTTTGTTTACTATAAATTTAGAAAGATTGATTTTGTTTTTATTTAGAATATAATCACACTATAGTATAATTTTTCATATTATATATATTTTCTCTTCAGATTATTATAAAATATTATATTAATTTTACAAAATAAAATATAGAATATTTAATTTATGTATTTTATAAAAATTATTATATAATATTTAATTTATAAAATATAGAATATTTAATTTATCATTTGTTTTGTCTAAAGAACCGAGACGGTATGATTGATTCTAGTAGTGAGCTTTTTATTTTGGATTGATCAGTTACTTAGATAGATTAAGTTAATTTTCTGTTTCTCTTTTAATCTGTTTTATCTTTCTTTAAGGATTGATCTGTTTTATTTAAAGAAAGTTAAATACATCGTTTCTAGAGTTTTAGTAACTTGATAATGATAGCGTATTGTGTGATACATTGAATTTATAGTTTGATAAGTTGAATTATTGTTATATATAAAGTTTAATCATTCACGATATCCTTATTTGAAGTGAAAATCTCAGTTTTTTTTGTCGTGTCTCAATTAGATCTTTATTTTGTAAAAATTACAACAATTACATTTTGTCGTTAAATTGAATCTAACGGTATTATACTCACTTTGAGGTCCCATGCGGATAACACCAATATTTTGTATTCTTTTATTTATTTACTTATGACGTTTAATATTAATTTCTTTGAAAATTATTTTGATTCCTTAATATTGTATACCATTCACATTATTGGTTTTTTTAGTAAAGAAAAATACTGGAAAAGGAACTTCATAGTCATAAGGGATCTCTTTGGCGAGGATTCAACACCACTTATATTTCTATCTTTTTTTTTCTATCATACATTTATTTTATTTTTTCTTTCCTGTTGTCCTGTTCGACTACAGTGGTATTCATGCGTTTTTCATTATAAATTTTAGGAAGTTATGAAATAATTGTTAGTAAATTAATACATCAAATTATCATTATTCTAGTTGTCATTTTTATGAAGTTATGGAATTCACTTAATCTAACTTAATACAGATAATTTAAAAAATCTTGAAACTAATATATATTAAATTATTTCAAATTTATCATTTAATTAAATTTTAAGTTTCATTATTTGTCTAAGTTAATTTTTTTCAAAATTATATATAAAGTTGTCAATTTCACTCATGATCTATACGTGAGCCTTAACCCAACTTTGAATAAACTTACTTTTAGGAGATTTCTGAAGGCATAAAAAAATATCCTTTCTCAAGTGGATTATTAGAGTTAAGGTAAGTTTGATTCCATTACAAGATTTTAACTCTTAAAAAGCAATACCTTCAATGTGGACCGTCTAGGTGAAGGCTAAGACAAACAAGTCTAGACCTAAGCTTGAAACAAACCAAACCGTTTCATATGGAAATTTCACATGAATTCCTCAGGCCGAGGGTTAAGTTGAGACAGGAAAAAAATTGAGATGAGTCGAAGGTCTAGAAAGATCAACTTGAGTCGAAGGTCAAGAAAGGTCGGGACGGGCTGACCAAGGTTGAAGGTCGAGATTGGTTGACCCAGAATTAAAGATTGGGATGGACCAACTAAGGTAAAAAAGTGAGACAAGTTAACTTCGGCTGATGTTGAGACGAGTTGACCACGGGTGAAATTTGACCTAATTCGGTTGAGTTGATCACTGTCGAAATTTTGCTAAGTCGGTCCCAGCTAAAATTTAGCTGAATTGGATCAGTCAGCTTGAACAGAATTTTACTGAGTTGACCTCAATCGAGTCAACCTCACCCTTAGTTGTAAGTTAAGATGGGTCAATTTTTAATAGGGTCTGAGTCCCAAATCAGCCCAAGTCAAAGATTGACTCGAGTTGAAGTTTGAGACGAGTCGACTTAAGTAGAAGGTCAAGATGACCCGACCCGTGCTTAAAGTTGACCCTAACCAATTTATATGAAAGTCGAGACAAAACTATTTAGATTCAAAATTGACGTGTCGATCTAAACTAAAGGTTAATAATGTATTTTAAAAAAATTAATATATTTTTATGTTTAGAAAAAATATCTATCAATTAATCCTAACTCACGTTACTATTATGACATTTTGATGTTGTTGACTTTTTTCTCCTAATGCACATATGGAAGGACCAAAATCCGTGAACCAAATTGATAATTTTAAGTATATGCTTTCTTAGTTGCAAAATGTCTAATTAAATTTATTTCTTATTTTTGTTTATTTAATAAGCTTGTGTTTGAATTATAGAATAAATTTGGATAGTTGAAAAATATGGATTAGAGGAGAATGAATAATACAAGTGAGATTGTCTGGATTAAAAAAAATATGAAAAATAAAAAAAAAAAAAATATATATATATATATATATATAATTATTATTTATATTATTGTTATTATTGATTATATTTATTATCATAATCATTTATTTCATTATTATTTATATTATAATCAGTATTTATCATTTTAATTAGTATTTTAATAATTATTTACATTTTATTATTTTTATTATATTATAATAAAAGTATAATAAAAGCTTATGATATATATATACTATTTCTAGCAAATTCAAAGAAAAGAAAAATTCAAGAGTAATTTATATCGTTTTTCATTTTTGAGTTTTTTTTTTTAAATTTACACGCAATCAAACATAGCATTTGAATAATTTTTTTTAAAATATTTGCGAGATAAAAATAAAATAAAATATGTTGTTAATAATTTAGTATTAGTTTACATACAAATTTAAATATGAAATTTGTATAGATTAGTTTACATTTACATTTTTTAGATAACTTTATTTTATATCTTATTTCAAATGTCATCTTAAAAAAATAAATAAATTATTTGTTTTTCCGATAACATTAAAAAAAAAACAAATGAGACGATGACAAGAGACAACGGGTGTGTTTAGAGCCATCAATTTAAGTGTTGAAGTTGTTCTCTTATATTTTCATTGTTCTCTTCACTATTTTTTATACCGTAGTTATTTAAATATCTAAATTTCCAATGAATAATTTATATAAAATTATGTATCAATTTTTAAATAAATTAAATTAATATAATTTTAATGATAAAAATAAGACGTCAATTATTTAAAAAGGATTAAATTGATATACTATTATATTGAGTTGTATGTTAATAATATTTCAGGTTGGGAGAAATTGCACTTATACTATTCTTAATTATATATTTCAAAATAAAAAGTACACAGTTATACATTTTAATAAGATAAAATTTATATTTATTCTCATTTTAATCTTTTGTACTTTTAATTAATTATTTATAATCTTTTTATGGTTTCAATGAAGTGATACTTATCTTTAATTTATTTAAAATAAAATATTTACTAAAATTTAAATTAAAAAATTCAGAATTTTAAAAACATAAAAAACTGAATCATTTAATTATACAAAATTTGGCTTTTATATTTTTAATGTCTTCTTTAATTGTATACTAGAGATAATTTGCGTACTTTAAAAATCGTATTTTCGTTAATACTCAGAATTTAAACATATAAACTAACTAGATATTTTCCTTAATTTTAACAGTTAGTTGAGTCTAAAAAAATGTAAAGCATTATAACGAGCTGCACAAAAAGAACAAAAGATAAAATATGCTTTCAAGAAAAATATTACTTAAAACACCGCATATTATAATTAACATTAAAATAATATAAAGTTACACATATAATTGTCCCACTTGCAGCAAACCGCATTATATATCTATACATAGATAAATATATATAAATATTTTATATTATATATTATATCTTCTATCTATGTTAGGCGTATACTGTGTGCCAACACACGCAAGTCCAGTAAGTTAAATTTAACTTTATTTAAACAAAAGTATTGGACATTTCTTATCAAATTTATTTTTAAAAAATAATTAGTTTGTATAATTTTAATAGGTAATGCTGTAACAAGCATTTCCTTACACGTCATCTATTGGTGAGCCACCAATTTTTATCATGAGATATGATGACAAAATAATTAACGCTGTGTTCGTTCGAAGAGAAATGACTGTTCACGGTGATTGGCTGACGATGGATTTGGAAAACGAACGTTGTTCTCTTGCGATGATTTGCAACAATGGATTTGGAAAACGAGCGTTGTTCTATATGATTTGCGACGATTTGGGACGATGGAATAGCGCTGATTTGCGAGACAACATTGTTGAA